TGCACAATTGGTGGCTGACTAAATACTTTTTTGCCCCACTGTATGTACTTCCAGTTTAACAGACAAATATACCAACAAATCAAAGGAACATTCATAGGATCATGGATTTCAGGACTCATAACAGACACTGGAATGCAACACCTTGAATCTACAGCACTCCCATGCCAATAATCTAAAATATGGATCCAGAATATAGATGACACCTTTATTATAATAAAATGAACCAACTAGAGAAAACACATGAAACTATAAACAACTTCTTCAAAGGAATAAAATTCACAAGGGAAGAAGAAAACAATGCTACTTTCCTGAATACCCTCATCAGTAAAGGCAGTGATGGCAAATTAGAAACACAAGTCTACCATAAAAGTACCCACACCAACCAAGTGCTCTACTAGCAAAGTAAAAACCCAACCTCCCACAAGAGAGGCTGTGTAATAACACTATTTAGATGAGCACAAACGCCCTACAGCAACTCTGAACATTGGAAGAAAGAAACAGATCATTATATAACATCTTCCAACAAAATAGATACCTGGCAACTTTGTAGAAAAACTGCCTGACCACTCAATCTACTATAGTACAACCAACACAAACTATAAAAAGGATAATGCTGCCATAGATCAAAAACATCTCAGAAACCATCAACTGACTATTACAACTACATGGCATCACTGTAGCACATAAACTAATTAAAGCCCTCCAAAACATCCTAAGTAAATCAAAATACTAGCAGAGCACACCTCTGAATACCAAGTAGCAGTCAAGAGATATGAAAAGTCCGTAATTTCACAAAATGTGGATAGATTCAACCATAGTATCAACTGGGAAACTTGTCACTCAGACAAATCAGCCACCAGCAGGCACATGGAAATAAACTACTTCTACATGCTGCTTAAAAGAGGCAATGAAAAAGTCAAAAAGACCAGCACCTCCCCATCAGGAATCAACACCTTGTGGGCAGCGATTAACCCCTAAATTAATATTAGACCAACAATCAAGAAGTAAACAGTACAATAAAGGAATTACCAATGCAGACAAACAAGCTAACAGTAAACAATAGCCAATCAAGGAAATCACCAAGGTCACCCCCACCAACACTGACAAGGCAAGCCACTTGTATATAAAAATAAGAGCAAATCCATTCCATTCTAGCGTTGATGATGTTACCTAGTTTGGCAATGAAATGTCTGTAAGAAGAGCACAATCTAATCCTGAGCTAGAAATATTCTCTTGGAATCTTTGATCCGAATCCAGAAAGCTCTTCTGGTTTTCTTTTGCATAAATTCTGTCATTGTATAATTTTCTAAGCATTGAAGAGAGTTAGGTGTCATATGGATTAATTTGATACTTTTCCGCTTTCTGTTACAGAGGGTTTCCCCCTCTCTTTTTGGTCATACCAAGCTTAGCTAAAAGCTTATTTCCTCAGAAGAGGGAGAGGTTCTTCGTCCTTATATAAGTATACATTTCACATTGTAGAAATTATTTGGATGGAGACAGATAAAATATTTGTTTTGTTTACTACTTAACTAATAAAGAGAGCTGACATCATCACCTCAACACATTGCCATATTAAACCAGTAGTTTGCTTGAGATTTTGATCAGCCATCCAGAAATATGTTACACAACATGGTCAGCTATGCATATATTTTAAATAAACACACTTCCCTAGAAAACTTAGTTCCTCTAAGTTCATCCTAAATGTTAGGCACTTACTTTTAGAGGAAAGAAGTGTTATCATTCTAACAGCATGACCTGGGAATTTCAGATTCTCAAGCAGAATAAAAGAAGATTTACAGATAGTGTTAAATGTGAAAGCCATATATAAATGCTTCAGGGCATAAGCATAATAATATTTACATTGTATGACTAAGTAATTATTAATGTAATAATGCTTAATTAATAGTCATCTAATTATTACTTTTATTATACAGATGCCCTAAAGAAGTTTATCCTCATGTAACCACCATTATAAACATTTGTCTTAAGTACCTTACCTACGATCCCAATTACAATTATGATGATGAAGATGAAGATGAGAATGCTATGGATGCTGATGGTGGAGATGATGATGACCAAGGTAGTTTGTGTTGGAAATAAAACCATGTATATGTGAGTGTGTGTGTGTGTTTGTGTATGTATACATATACACACACACACATACAAACACACACACACACACACTATATATATATATATA